AACAATAAAATGCAAGTAAGAAACTGTTTATAGACTACAGTTGAAAAAATACAGAGTAGGAAATGGAGACTCATATAAGTTTTTAAGTGAATGAAAGACAGAAGAAAGAAAAACGTTCCAATTATTGTCTAAGAGGAAAACACTTGGGTCTAGAACAAATGTTTTCCTTAGGGTCTCAAATGGGTGGAACTGAATGGATCTCGTCCTCGATACAGTCATAAGGGGAGCTTTTCTTTGAAGACATCATGGAGATAAAAGGCAATAACATAATTCCAAATTCAGTATAGCATTTTCAAAGCTTTCTGCGATTTGCTAGGTGGCAGTAAAAAACTCTTGAGTTTTAGTCCTAGGAAATGTGTTACTGAATGCTGGGAGAGTGAAGTACAAGTCCTATTGGGTCCTATTAAAAGAAAAAAAAAAACCCTTAAAGAGGAAATTCCCTTCTCACAAAAATTGATTTTACTGATGAGAAAATCAAAGATCTAGGAAAATCAACAAAGATTTTTACTCGTATAAGCAGCTTTCTGTATGTCTTAACCCCTCAAATTAAACCAATCATAAAATACACCCAACTGTAATAGAACTAGAAAAAGAAACAGTAACAAAGTTGTTTGCAGGGTGATTTATTATGCTTTTATTTAAGGAAAAAAGTGCTCTATTTTTTTTTCACCTAGTCTACTCCCTTCTTTCCTATCCTGTTATCTTCACATCTAAGTCCATTGCTTCAAATACCAGGACTATGTCGTTACTTTCTATTGTTGAACTGAATTTCTATTATCTTAATGATCTGAAATTTTAAAAATTATCTGGTATATGAGAGTCCTTAAACATATAGATATAACATATAAACATGAACATACAGAGTACATGTTGAAAACAGTTTTGTCTTCTAATGGCCAGATACTTGATTTGGAAAAATCCTCGTTTGCTATAATATAGAAATAACAGAAAATCCCTAGAATTTGAGTCCATAATCCTGGTTAAAATTCTCTATTTTTCTGTGAGTTCAACTATGTTAGATTCTACTTACAAATGAGATCATGCAGCCTGAGTCTTTCTGCATCTGGCTTACTTCATTAGGCATAATGCCCTTCACTTGCAGAAGCAGACTGCAGAATGATGATTACCAGGGCCTGGGAGGAGAGCAAAATGAGATGTCAGTCAAAGGGCACCAAGTTTCAGTTAAGCAGAATGAGTAAATGTGGCTCTAGCTGACCATACTGTATACCTGAAATTTGTTTAAAGAGTAGGTATTAAATGTCCTCATAACAATAAATAAATCACAAAAGATGCTCAAAAATTTTAATTCTCCATCTTTCATCAATTTATATACTGATCCTGGAAAAGTAATCATCCTTCTCTGTTCAGTGCTGTAGTGAGGAGGGTTGGGTTAAGTCACCTCTGAGGTCCTGACGCTATAATGATCAGTTGGTCTGTGGTACTTCCCTGTGCTCTGAACAATGACTGAAGCTCTACATGCTACCTACAGCCCTGTAGGCCTGAGTGAGGTCCTCAAGTCTCAGAGTGCAGGGAGGAGCACTTAGGAGGGCCTAATTTACCTCTTCCCTTAAAGAAAAAGGTGAGGATTAAATAAGAAAGACTACTTAATTAGCTATTTATACCTTGTATACCCACTGTAATTCTGAAAACCCACTGTAAGCTGCACGCTCTCTGATCTGGCAAGTGGCACAATGAAAAATCTTTTTTAATTTTTAATTTTTTAAATATATTTTATTGATTATGTCATTACAGTTGCGCCATTTCCCCCCTTCATTCCCCTCCACCCTGCACACCCCTCCCCTCACATTCCCCCCCTTTAGATTATGTCCATGTGTCATAAGTTCTTTAGCTTCTGTATTTCCCACACTACTCTTGCCCTCCCCCTGTCTATTTTCTCCCCACTGTCTACACTACTTATACTCTGTACCTTCTCCCCCCTTTTCCTCCTCCCACTCCCCTGTTGCTAACCCTCCATGTAATCTCCATTTCTGTGGTTCTGCTCCTGATCTAGCTGCCTGCTTAGTTTGCTTTTGTTTTAGGTGTGGTTCTTAATAACTGTGAGTTTGCTGCCCTTTCACTGTTCATATTTTTAATTCTTTTTTCTTAGATGATTCCATTTAACATTTCATATAATAAGGGCTTGGTGATGATGAACTCCTTGAACTTGATCTTATCTAAGAAGCGCTTTATCTGCCCTTCCATTCTAAATGAAAGCTTTGCTGGATGGAGTAATCTTGGATGTAGGTCTTTGGATTTCATGACTTGAAATACTTCTTTCCAGCCCCTTCTTGCCTATAAGGTCTCTTTTAAGAAATCAGCTGACAGTCTGATGGGAACTCCTTTGTAGGTGTCTGTCCCCTTATTTCTTGCTGCTTCTAGAATTCTCTCCTTCATTTTAATCTTGGCTAATGGAATTATGGTGTGCCTTGGTGTGTTCCTACTTGGGTCCAACTTCTTTGGGACTCTCTGAGCTTCCTGGATTTCCTGGAAGTCTATTTCCTTTGCCAGATTGGGGAAGTTCTCCTTTATTATTTGTTCAAATAAGTTTTCCACTTGTTGCTGTTCCTCTTCCCCTTCTGGTACCCCTATAATTCAGATGTTGGAACATTTAAAGATGTCCTGGAAGTTCCTTAGCCTCTCCTCATTTTTTTGAATTCTTGTTTCTTCATCCTTTTCTGTTTGGTCATTTTGTCCTTCCTTCTGGTCCACTCCCTTGATTTGAGTCCCAGTTTCTTTTCCATTACTATTGGTTTCCTGTGCATTTTGCTTCATTTCACTTAGTGTAGCCTTCATTTGTTCCTCTAATTTGTGACTAAAATCAACCAATTCTGTGAGCATCCTTATCACCAGTGTTTTGAAATGTGCGTCCGATAGGTTGGCTATCTCTTGGTCTTTTAGAAGTATTGGCTCTAAAGCTTTGAGCTGTTCTTCTGCTTGAACCATAAAGTTTTGGTCTGTTCACACCTGTTACATATGAGGGGCAAAAGCTAAGGTGTTCACCGGGGCAGGTCAACCCAGTTGCTGGGTTGTGACTGGTGGTGGGCTCAGAGAGGGAGCAATGGTGCCTGTTCCTCTCTCTCTCTAATTTCAGTCCCCTCTGCCACTTCCCACAAGCAAATTGGACCATTCTGGTGCTGGTTCCCGGGTGTGTGGGCTTGTGTACTTTCTAGGACCCTGTGGGTCTCTCCAATGAACTCTCCTGTGAGGCTGGGAGCCTCTCCCAGCACCTCAGTCCCCAAAAGTTTTTTCCAGTCAGTGCTTTTAGGCTTTATTTACCATTGCTGGGGCCCAGCATTGCACCATCTATGGCATTGCCCTTTTGTTTTTTTGCCTGGTTTATCTGCACACCAATGTGTGTCCGCAGTCAGCCAACTGCCTTGCGCACCTCACTGGGTTGGGTCTGCTCATTTTTTCCCCTCACCCATGTCTGCCAACCACTGCCTCTTTCTGCCTGGACCCCTCTCCTCCAGGTGCCAACTCTGCCCCTCCTACCAGTCTGGATGAATGGTTCATTGTTGTCGGACTTCAGTACAGTTCAATTTTCTGTCTGTTCTGGTCATGTTTTTGTTTCTAAATCTTTGTTGTCCTTAAATTTGGTTGTGCGAGAAGGCACAGTATTTTCACCTATGCCTCTATCTTGGCAGGAAGTCAAATCCTGAAAAAAAACCCCAAAAATTGTTCCCCAGATGCTTGCCTTAAATGACAAGACAGATTTTATCCAAGACTATTGCCATAAGGGGTGAAGACTACCACAATAGAGGAGAGAGATTAGGCTCAACTCCAAATACAACAAGGACAAATGGGAATTTATAGCCCAAGAACAGAGTGAGGGCGTCAGTGAATGGAATCTAAGAGGAGACATCAAGAAGAGAGGGCTTCTTCCTAAAAGCAAACAGCAAAAACAAAACCAAACTAAGCAGACAACTACAACAGGAACTGAGTCACAGAAATGGAGATCACATGGAGGGTTGTCAGGAGGGTGGGAATGGGGGGAAAAGGTACAGGGAATAAGAAGCATAAATGGTAGCTACAAAATAGACAGGGAGAGGTTAAGCATAGTATCAGAAATGGAGAAGTCAAAGAGCTTATATGTACGACCCATGGACATAAACTAAAGTTGGGAAATGATTTGGGAGGGAGGGTACAGGCCTGAGGGGAATAAAGAGGGAAAATGAATAACTGTAATAACATAACCAATAAAATATTTAAAAAAATAAAGAATACAGGGATTCTTGCTAAAGACAAGCCAAGAACTTAGATATAAGAAGTTAGATATCAGGGGTAGAGGAGGAGGAACTTGATTAGAATGTAAGGTAGGGGCTTCCTGCCAAACTGATTTAGCAGAATTCTCACTAAAACTGGGTTCAACAAGGAAAGACATGAAAGGCCAAGATCAAGTTCTAATAGAAAAGAGAGCTCAGAGGAGCTTAACAAAAATTTGGTCAAGAAAGGAGTCTTTCTCAAGTCAGAAAAAATTATTTGGGTTCAAATCCTTGATTTGACACTAACTTTGCAATTATGTAAATGTAGGGGAGTCATTAACTGCTCTGAGCTCCACTTTCTCCCATATAAAATGGAGGTAATCATAACCATACTACAATTCCACAGAGAAATTGTAACTATCAAAATCAAAATGAGATTTCCAGGTGAAACCTTCAGTAACGTGGAAAGCTTTGCATATTGCACATGTGTGGAAGTTACACTTACAGGACCTAAGATAAGCCAGAGTCAAATGACCATTGTCCTCTCATCTCCCTGTGGTCAGAGTAAGGACATAGGAGTGTGACAGTTATTGCCAACCCACAGTATTTACGGTAGGAAAGAATAATCATGGAACTAAAGAATTTCCAGACCAGTTCTCTGAGTAGTCACAATCATTTGGATGCTTGAAAGAGCTTCATAACAATGTATGATAAACGATGTTGCCGTCTCATGATACCATACTCCTAATCCTAATGTGTCTTCTCCCAACATAGACCTGGAACAAAGTGATTCTCATCATGGGCCAGAGTAACCACACCCAAGTGAGGGAATTTGTCTTCCTGGAACTCACACGCTTCCGGGAGCTGGAGTTGTTCTTGTTTGTGTTCTTCCTTGCTGTATATGCAACAACTGTGCTGGGCAATGCCATCATTGTTGTGACCGTCACCTGTGACTCCCACCTCCACACTCCTATGTACTTTCTCCTAAGGAACAAATCAGTCCTGGACATTGTTTTTTCATCGGTCACCGTTCCCAAGTTCCTGGTAGATCTTTTGACAGAGAGGAACACCATCTCTTACAATGGCTGCATGGCACAGATCTTTTTCTTCCACTTTGCTGGTGGGGCAGACATTTTCTTCCTCTCTGTGATGGCCTATGACAGATACCTTGCAATCGCTAAACCCTTGCATTATGTGACTCTTATGAGGAGAGAGGTGTGGATGACGTTGGTGGCAGCTTCCTGGGTGGGTGGTGGTTTGCACTCAATTGTCCAGATAATTCTGATGCTTCCTCTCCCCTTCTGTGGCCCCAACATCCTGGATGCCTTCTACTGTGATGTGCCCCAGGTGATTAAATTGGCTTGCAGCGACACCTCCACTCTAGAGCTTCTCATGATCTCTAACAATGGTCTGGTGACCTCGCTGTGGTTCCTCCTGCTCCTAGGGTCCTATACTGTCATTCTGGTGGCACTCAGATCTCACTCTGGGGAGGGCCGGAAAAAGGCCTACTCCACCTGCACCTCCCACATCCTGGTGGTGACTCTTCACTTTGTGCCTTCTGTTTACATCTACTGCCGGCCCTTCACTACACTGTCCATGGACACAGCTGTGTCCATCAATAACACGGTTATCACTCCCATGCTGAACCCCATGATCTATACCCTGAGAAACCAGGAGGTGAAGTCAGCCATGAAGAGACTGAAGAGGAGACTTGGACATTCTGAGTGTAGTAAATTGTGGTGAACACTCAGACTGAGACTGGAAATCTAACTGCTTTGATTTTCTCAAACTGTTAGCCTAAGGGTAAGAGACACTGAGCTCTTTCTCCAGTCATTTCTAAATATACTCAAAGCCCTTCGGCTCTGATAGAAACACGTGAGGACAAAAGGAAGAGATGGTAATGAGCAACATAACTATGGGCTTGTGGATTGGGAGAAATATGGGGTATAACACTGAAATCAATACCCAATGCCATTTTGGTAGAATCTGTGATTCTCAAACCAACATATTTTGCTTTGCTTTCACTGCCTATAATATAGAAATAATTTGTCTACTAACGAGGCTGTCATGAGAATGAAACAGGATGAATGTTGAGCGGATGAGTGTGCGATGGTGAGCACCATCCCCGCATTAATCAGGCATACAATCAATAATGCCTATTGCTTATCCCTCTATCCCTACACAGGCTCATATATGAAATATGGGAGCACTTATTTCATACTTCTTTTCTCTAGTGACAGTTATGTCCACTTGATTATTAAAGTCACTTCTTGATGCTGTATTTCAAATACAGAATTTTCCGTTATTTCACCGATAAGTGTAAAGAGGAGAAATATTTTAATTTATCTTAAGCCAGATATATACACAGACAAATCTTACACATTGGCCAAGTATTTCTTATTCTCAGGTCCATTCTACTTGTTTTCCCGCTGAGATGAATCTCAAAAGAATTTATGCAGTTTGAGGATGTATCCGCACAAAATTTGCAATGATAATACATTTTATGTTAACCTGAACTTTCTTTTTCCCCTCTATCTCTTCTTTCCATTTCACCCCTGAGACTTTTATAATTGGAGAAAAACTATAGTCTTTGCCTATGTATGTATAGACAGTTCAAGGCAAGTCATAGAAGTATCAAAAAAGCTGCCTAAGAAACATCTTTCCATGTACTCAAGAATCATTTTGCATAACAGCAGAGAAAAGAAACATCCTATGATCAAGGTCATTTAGGAATAGCCACAGGGTCTGTGTTGTAATCCACCTCTCATCCATGGAAAGGATACCAAGCAAGTAGACATATCCACAGTTAATCTTCCTTTTTTCTCTATGTTCACCTTAAATTTACCTTTCGGCTTCAGTAGTCATTCAAAAATTAACCAAGGGAAATAAGAAAGTTCAGGAAATTGCAGCACACAGAGCAATTTTTGCAAGGTGTTATGATGTATTAATATTTGGCCAAAGACGTCCTAGTAGGTAACACATCTGTGACCTTCTCCGAGTCCTGCAAGGCAGACACATTGGGCCAAGACTCCTAATCATATGCCAATGCTTTTCAATTTTTTGAAGTTACTGACCCTCAACAATCTTCATTAGATATTTTTCCTAATTTTTCTAAAAAAATTTAGATATGTAGCACCCCCACAAGAAAATATAACACCAAAGATGTACCCTACATCTTTTCATGTACTGAGGCTCCATGAAGGGCCACATATCACTGTAATATCTGAGACTTTTTGACCCCAAAGAACCAATATTTTCACTCTTGGGAAGTTGCCCACATTAAGAATGGATGATCATATAGTATTAGATATTTATTTTGATATATTTCCTCAAAACTAGAAAATCACAGAATATATTTATGGCTTCTGGTGCCTTGCTAGAATTTTTAAAGCATAGAAATGTGGACAGGTTTGTGCTTATGTGTGTGAGGGCATATGTGTGGAGTTACATGCAGTAATGACTCATGTTTTATACTACTTATTAAGTTTTAAACTACTTAACTCCCACTGGAGTTCCAACACTACCATACGAATGTGCATTCTATTTCTACACTCACCTTCAATAAAATTCCCTTCCCTAATTCTCATATTACGCTTGGGCCTGAGAGACTAGAGCACATGGCCAGGACACTGGGATAAGCAGAAAGCCATAAAGACATGACTCCTATGTCTACCTTTCCCAAGGTGACTACATCAAACTATAAGGCTTTTGCACAGCAAAAAAACAATTAACAAATAAAAAGAAAACATACAGAATGGAAGAAAATATTCACAAAATATATATCCAATAAGGAATTAATATTCAAAATATATAAAGAACCCATACAACTCAACAGCAAAAAAACAGAAGTGAGCAGAGGAATAAATAAATATTTTCTTTATTTTTCTCCTGGCTTATAAACAACAGAAATTTATTTCACACAGTCTGGAGGTTGAAAGTTCAAGATGAGGGTACCAGTATGGTCAGGTTCTGAAGAAAGCTCTTTTCTGGGTTACAGACTGCCATTTTCTCATTATATCTTCACATGGTGGAAAGAGGATGAGAGAGGGCCCCACCTGTAAGGGCACTAACCTCATTCATGAGGGCTCCACCCTCATGCCTAATTACCTGCAGAAGTCCTACATCCTGATACTACTATATTGGGGATTAGAATTTCAACATACTAATTTTTATTATGTGTTGGTTTCAGTATGCAGCTTAGTAATTAGACAATCTTATACTTTACGTACTTGGTATTTCCAGTACCCCAACTGGCACCATACACAGTTACAATATTATTGACTACATTTCCTATGCTTTACTTACTTTCCCTCGACATTTTTGTAACTACCAATTCGTGCTTCTTAGTCTCTTCATCATTTTCACCCAGTGCCCCAACCCTCTCCCCCCTCGGGCAATCACCAGTTCTCTTTGTGTGTCTGTGAGTGCACTTCAATTGTGTTTGTTCATTTGTTTTGTTCTTTAGATTTCACATGTAAGTGAAATCATATGGTGTTTGTCTTTCTCTGACTGACTTATTTCACTGAGCATAATACTCTCTAGGTCCATCCATGCTGTTGCAAATGATAAGATTTCATTAATTGTTATGGCCAAGTAATATTCCATTGGATATATGTGTTGTAGCTGTTTTATCCATTCCTCTATTGATGGGCACTTGGGTTGCTTCTATAGGTTGGCTATTGTAAATAATGTTGCGATGAACATAGGGATGCACATATTGTTTCAAATTAGTGTTTTGAGTTTCTTTGGATAAATCTCCAGAAATGGAATCACTGGGTCATAAGGCAGGTCAATTTTTAATCTTTTGAGAGAACTCCATACTGTTTTCCATAGTGGCTGCACCAACCTGCATTCCCCAACAGTGCACTAGAGTTCCCTTTTCTCCACATCCTTGCCAGTACTTGCAGTTTTATTGATGACATGTGTGAGGTGTCTGACAAGTGTGAGGTGGTATCACATTGTGGGTTTAATTTGCATCTCTCTGACGATTAGTGGCATTGAGCATTGTTTCATATGTCTATTGGCTTTCTGTTTTTCTCTGGAGAAGTGTCTCTGAATAGATATTTTTCAAAACAAGACATATGAATGCTCAACAGGTACATGAAAAGGTGCTCAACAACACTAAACATCAAAGAAATGCAAATCAAAAAAGTTGAGAGGTAAGTATTGGCAAGGACATAGAAACACTTGTGTACTGTTGATGAAAATATAAATTGGTGCAGCCACTATGGAAAACAGTTTAGAAGTTCATCAAAAAATTAGGGCTTCTGGCCAAAATGGACCCATAGGTGGATAAACTTAGCCTCCTCACACAACCAAAAGAAGAATAACAACACATTTAAAAACAAAAAACAACCAGAAATGCAAGAAAATCAAACTGTACAGAGAAGTCCAACAACTGAGCAGTTAAAGAAGAAACACTCACACAGACCCATACCAGGGGTGGAGATGGGCAGCCAAGACAAAGAAGATTCGAGGCACGGCAGAGTCTTCTGGGACAGGTGGTGGAGAATGTGGGAGTGTCCACATTTGCATGCAGATAAACCAGGAGGAACAACTGGGGAGTGAGACTACCAAGCAACCCAGGGTTATAGCGTGGGGAAATAAAGCCTGAAAACCTGTGACTGAAAACACCTGTGGGTGTTGTGGCAGTGGAAGAAACTCCCAGCCTCACAGAAGAGTTTGTTGGAGAGACACACAGAGTCCTAGAACATTCACAAGTCCTCACACCTGGGAATCAGCACCAGAAGAGCCCAATTGCTTGTGGGTAGCAGAGGAAGTTACTGAAAGCCAGGGGAGAGCTGAGCAAGTGGCACTGTTCCCGCTCAGAACCCAACCCACATAAAGCACCACAACACAGTGACAGAGGTTGCCCTGCTTGGTCTAATACTTAAGGCTCCACCCCATACCATGTATTGGGTGCACCAAGACAAAAAAAATGGCCCAAATAAAACAACAGATCAAAGATCCAGAAAAAATATAACAAAGTGATGAAGAGATAGCCTACCTCTCAGATGCAGAGTTAAAAACACTGGTAATCAGGAGGCTCACAGAATTGGTTGAGCATGGTCACAAGAAAAAGAGGAAGAAGTGAAGGCTATGAAAAGTGAAATAAAGGAAAATGCACAGAGAACCAACTAACAGTGACAGGAAGGAAACTGGGACTCAAATCAACAGTTTGGAGCAGAAGGAAGAAATAAACATTCAACCAGAACAGAATAAAGAAAGAAGAATTCAAAAAAAAATGAGGAGAGGCTTAGGAACCTCTGAGAAAACTTTAAATGTTCCAACATCTGAATCATAGGGGTGCCAGAAGGAGAAGAAGGAGAGCAAGAAATGGAAAACTTATTTGAAAACATAGTGAGGTAGAACTTCCCCAATCTGGCCAAGAAAATAGACTTCCAGGAAGTCCAGGAAGCTCAGAGAGTCCCAAAAAAGGTGGACCCAAGAAGGAACACACCAAGGCACATCATAATTCCATTAGCCAACATTAAAATGAAGGAGAGAATCCTAGAAGCAGCAAAGATAAGGGGACAGACACCTACAAAGGAGTTCCCATCAGACTGTCAGCTGATTTCTCAAAAGAGATAGACCTTGCAGGCAAGACGGAGCTGGAAAGAAGTATTCCAAGTCATGAAATCCAAAGACCAACAACCAAGATTGCTCTATCCAGCAAAACTTTCATTTAGAATGGAAGGGCAGATAAAGTGCTTCCCAGATAAGATCAAGTTAAAGGAGTTCATCATCATCATGCCCTTATTATATGAAATGTTAAAGGGACTTACCTAAGACAAAAAAGATTATCAAAAATATGAATAGTAAAATGACAACAAACTCACAACTATCAACAACCAAACCTAAAAAAACAAAAATGAAAATGAACTAAGCAGTCAACTAGAACAGGAACAGATTCACAGAAATGGAGATCACATGGAGGATTATCAACAGGGAGGTGGAGGGGGAGCAATGGGGGGAAAGGTACAGGGGATAAGAAGCATAGACGGTAGGTACAAAAGAGACAGAGGTGAGGTTAAGAATAGTATGGGAAATGCAGAAGACAAAGAACTTATATGTACAACACAGGGACATGAACTAAGGGGGGAAGGGGGAATGCAAGCGGGAGGGGCAGTGCAGGACAGAGGGTAATAAAGGGGGGAATGGGACGACTGTAATAGCATAATCAATAAAATATATTTAAAAGAAAAAACTTTAAAAATATAACTACCATGTGGTCCAGCAATTCCATCCATGGTTTTATATCCAAAGGAAATGAAATAGGGTCTCACAGAGGCATCAGCACTCCCATGCTCACCGCCGTATTATTTGCAACATCCAAGATATGGAAATAATCTAAGTGTCCACTGATGCAAAGCATGGACCAAGAAGATGCAGTATGTAAGTGTGTATATATGGTATGTACCATATTTTGTGTGTATAATGTGCACCCACATTTTTGTGTGCATTATACATGAAATTATTTTACCAATTATTATACCTATGGTGCATAATCATTATACCTATATATAATGTACATCCTTATTTTCCCTCAAAAATAATGGGAAAATTTGGGCAAAAATATGTGCATTATGCATGGCAAAGTATGGTATGTATAGGTATATATGTATGTCTGTGTATATATACATATATATATAATAGAATGTCATCAGCCATAAAAATTAAGGAAATTCTGCCCTTTTCAACAGAATGAGTGGACTTTGAGAGAAATAAATCAGACAGAGAAAAACAAGCACATTATGATCGCATATACATTTGGAATCTAAAAATCTGAACTCACATAAACAGAGAGTGGAATGCTGCTTGACAGGTGCTGGGGGAGGGGCAAGATGGGGAGATATTGTTCCAAGGGTACAAGCTTCCAATCTCAAGGTGGATAAGTTAGGAGACCTAATGTATTGCATGGCGATTACAGTTAACGTTACTGTACTGTGCACTTGAAAGTTGCTAAAAGAGTACATCATAAGTGATCTCGCCATGAGAAGAATTCTGTGAGGTGATGGAGGTGTTAGCTGACACTACAATGATAATCATTTTGCAATATATAAATGTACCAAATCAACACACTGCATACCTTAAACACACACAGTGGTACATGTCTATTGTATCTCACCACACCTGGGAAAGAAAACATTATCCATCTCAAACACACAACCTACCTCCTGCAGTTTTCATCTTTGTTAACTAGTTTAATGCTCTAAAACAAAATATAAAAGCAGTTAAATCTAAAGCCATCATTCCTCTGCCAACCGTGGAGTGGCATGTATTGTATACATTCTATATAAGATGAAACTCTAATAAATTGAGTTAATTTTATATAACTACTATAATTGTGTAGGCTGTCCACACATTTTATCTAGCTATATCCCGGTTGAGAGATTTCATTGAGAGTAAATTATTGGGAAACAGGAAAAATGTGCATTTTCCAAACACCTGAAAAGCCATGTTTCTCTGCACGTGGAGAGAGCAATATCATGACACTGGGGTCATCGTGTGTATGATTAGAAAGTGAACTGGAAGCAAAAGATTTCAGGTCGAGTTTGTTTCATCTAGTTTTTGGCAATCTAATTGAAACTCGTTTGTGTATAGTGTCCTCTGAGCCTGGCAAGCCATGAAAATTGGACCCTTGTCATCTGTTGGGCACAAACTTTGGCATGCTTTCACAACATTCTGATTGAGCCATGGGTGAGAGTATAATTATCTTATACTGCCTCTAAATAATTTGGACACCTAGAAAAATGCATCCATGTGTGTGTGCATGCGTGTGCACCTGGACATATATGAAAGTCTCAGTAACTTTTTAATAACTCCCATTGAAACTTCATCACCAACAGCAGAATCAGACACTTGACTTGCTCTTCCTTGTCCAATAATATTCCCTTTGCAATTCTTGTATCAGGCCTGAGGCTGAGGGATTTGTATATAGGATAGACCCACAGTGGACGTTCTTGAAGAGAAGATTCTTTGGACCTGCCCTTTCTCTCCTGACAGGTAGGCAAAGATGCTAAGATATTCAGTGTTCCAAAAGACTTTACCTTCAGAAACAAAATTTTCAAGAATTAACATCACCCAGTGTTCTGTTCTGCACTGTACCTTATAGCACACATCTTGTGGTTGGAGTTTCAGGACCCAAGGGATTAGGTAAAGACATCCAACATCTAGCTAAGGGGGAAGGTTATGCATAGTGAAAGTGAGATGTCCTTGTTTTGATGATGTATAAATAGTTTGACTTTGATATTTTCCAGGTAGTATATTAAATGCTTCATAGCGAGATGGTCTCAGTGATGGAAACAGCACAGGTGGGTGTTAACCATTGGGAAGAAAGACATTGTGTTCAGAAGGATTCAGAAATGTGGTCCATTCATGCGTGAGAAGGCACCACACATTTGTGACACTTTGAGTTACTTATTGGTGAGGCTGCCTCAGACTAAAATCAGTGTGAACTGGGTTTCCAGAGCCCCTGTCTGCCTAATTCTTATCTTCAGACAGACTTTATCAAAGATTCTTATTGCACGAAATTAGCCCCTGTCTACACATATAAGACTGAGGGGGAAAGACAATGGTTTCTGCCTTCCTACTTCCACCTCTCCCTTCCCTTCTGGCAAACATAGATTCATAATATGTTCCATGTAAAAAATAAGAAAACATTAATACTTACAAAAGGATGGTGGTGAAAATTAAACAAAACAACTTTTCCTACTTCTTGTTTTAAACTTTATTTTTAGTGTTGATATGAATACAGATGCCCCCATTTTTCCCACCCTTTGCCCACCTCCACCCAGCCCCCCAGCCCCTTCCCTCTGGGCATTGCCACACTGTTGTCTGTGTCAGCTCTCAAAAAATAGTTGCTTTTGTTACTGCTGGAAACCATGATATTTCCTATCACATCTCCTATCCCACCCAAATCTGCCTCTACTTCTATCATGACACATTTCACATTGTGTCACACATTAATACATCAATGCACACAAACCATCCACTTTGGATAAGCTGCAAGGACCTTGAAAATGTGGTCCAATTTACCCGTGCACATTTGGATACTGCTAGAAATGTTCACTTGTTAAATGTAAGGTAGAACAAATAGTAACTATAAAATCCCTAAGAAGGATCAATAATAGCTGATTTGTCTAAAAGACACTATTCTAATGATACCAGGGTCTCACCCTGCCACGTGAGCCCTTCATTCTCCTGTTTTTGTCCCACGAAGGGAAAGAGGCAGAGAGCATGATTGACGCAGTATGGGCCACTTCTCAGAAGCAGGTCACTGTCTTTATTCTGTCCCCTACACTCAAGCGAGGATCACATCAGCTCTACAAGATGGGTAAGGTTCTAGAGGTCTGCTGTACAGCCCTCTGGCTGTACTTAACAATATGGAACCATGAACTTGAAATCTGTTAAGAGGGTAGCTTTTGTGTTTAAGTGTTTTAACTATACCATAAAAAAATTAATGATATACTTTGAGATCTGGATTTACACATTGTTTCAATCTGTGCTCCAATAGCAAATTATACAAGTGTTTAAGTAATTAAGCAAATAACTGATCAGTATAAAGTAATTACAGTGACAATTTACACAGAATAATAGACTGTAATTTTAAGAAATTCAACAATAGAGAGTTAAGATCGAGGAAACTGATTGATGTCACAGCAATACTGCAACAAGAAACAGAATGACATTCCTTTTTTTTAGCAAGATAAGACTCTGTTGAAGTCAATGGAATATTTGCTAATGTAAATATTAAAATTATAGACTATAAACATACAATGGCTGGAACTGGGCCTTACATATCATTGTATTTAATGCTTCAGACAGTTCCTGACATTCAATGAGTATATGTGGAATAAAAATAATACTAAATAAATTTTTTAAATGAAAATGAGTTGATTAAAATGTGCTATGTAAAGGTCACTACTTAACATAAATGTTTATTTTCTGCAAAACAGTTTTATAGAAAAAGAACTATTGAATGACTTTGCGTGTGATAATTTTATTCGATCACCAAACTGACTGCGATCTCAGAAATTTGCATGACTCCGAAAAATTGCACACAGTACAGCCACATGAGCAGCATTCTGAATTGCATTCTTAGTGCATAGGAAGGAAACAACATAGACACATCTCTCTCCATGTGAAGTAGCTGGAAACACAGGAGAGACAGAGAAGATGACTCCATGGAGCTGAAAAATGACACCAGAGTAAAAGAATTTATTTTCCTTGGCCTCACCCAGAATCAAGACCTGAGTTTGGTCTTCTTTCTTTTCCTGTTCTTGGTGTATATGACAACTCTGCTGGGAAACCTCCTCATCCTGGTGACAGTGACCTGTGAGTCTTGTCTTCACATCCCCATGTACTTCCTGCTCCGTAATCTATCGGTGGCCGACATCTGCTTTTCCTCCATCACAGCTCCCAAGGTTCTGGTGGACCTTCTGTCACACAGAAAGACCATCTCCTTCAATGGCTGCTTCACCCAGATGTTTTTCTTCCACCTTGTTGGAGGGGTGGATGTATTTTCTTTGTCGGTGATGGCATTAGATCGGTACGTGGCCATCTCCAAGCCCCTGCACTATGTGACCATCATGAGTAGGGGACGCTGCACTGCCCTCATTGCAGCCTCCTGGGTGGGGGGCTTTGTCCACTCCATTGTCCAGCTTTCCCTGCTGCTCCCACTCCCCTTCTGTGGACCCAATGTTCTGGACACTTTCTACTGTGATGTCCCCCAGGTCCTCAGCCTCGCCTGTACAGACACCTTTACCCTTGAACTCCTCATGATTTCCAACAACGGCTTGCTCACTACCCTGTGGTTCTTCTTCCTCCTGGTGTCCTACACAGTCATCCTAAGGATGCTGAGGTCTCAGGCAGGGGAGGGCAGGAGGAAAGCCATCTCTACCTGCACAGCCCACGTCACTGTGGTGACCCTGCACTTTGTGCCCTGCATCTATGTCTACGCCCGGCCCTTCACTGCCCTCCCCATGGATAAGGCCATTTCTGTCACCTTCACTATCATCTCCCCACTGCTGAACCCCTTGATCTACACTCTGAGGAACCAGGAGATGAAGTCAGCCATGAGGAGACTGAAAAGAAGACTGGTGCTTTCTGAAAGCTTTAGAGAATTTTCTTCTCCTTTTTGTCCTTCTTACCACCTTTGAAAATGTCCATCAAATAAACTGTATTTACTAAAACATTCTTAGTTAACTTTTATATTTCTGCTGAGATACACATGACTTTCAAAAATTCTGAACAGCATGAAATAATAATGTAAAAATATGGGGTTTCATGTTACAAAAGAAAGTAGAGAAATCAAACCGTTAGTCAGAGAGGTATGTACTGTCGCAATGCAGACTTGGAAGAAATTAAGAAAACAAAATGAAAATACGCTCAAACAATTTTATCACATTGTAATTGTTGAGGGTTTTTTCCCCCAGCTCTACTGGGGAATAATTGACAAATAGAAATGGTATATATTTAGGAGATGAAACTTAATATATGTATACAGTATTTATAGGCTTTAAAGATCAGGATACTGATGCATGTTTTCACAGAATTTCAGGGGCTTGGTTATAAATATGCTGAGGGGTAAAGATAAACAAAGAGAGGAAAACTAAGAGACCACTGAAATAGTCTCAGGAAAGGAATAATGGAGACATGACTTAGAATGGTAATGGGGGAGGTGGTGAGAATTTTTTTTTTAACTGGGAAGGGTAAGCCGGTGGGATTTGCTGATGGCTCCAAGGTGGATTTTCTGGCTACATGTGCCCCTGTGAGACCTCCGTCACCCACTTGTTCCTCAGCCACTGAGAGGGACTTCGTTCACTCTGGCCTACACACCCCATTTGGGCCCAAGGGTTTCTTCCAATACTTGTGTTTCACAAGTATTGTGAAAAGTTCAAGGGAGCCTGAGTAGGGTTTGGTTACAGACAGAATCTTTGTCACAACTAGAAAATTTTAGACCCTAGACAACATGTGTGTTCCCGAGCACATGTGCCTGAGTAGCATTTTAATTATTCCCACTGAACCAACCTCACCATCGGCAGAATTTTTCCACAACCACAGCCGACTTTATTCCCTCTGATAATTCTCACACTAGTTTGGGGATTAGGGAATCAGTAAATATGACAGAATGCTGGGAATCGGCATAGAAGAGCCAAGAAAAGACAACTCCCCAAGTCTGCATTTTTTTTTCCACATAAAGATAAAAGAGAAGCCTCCGAAATCACTGGGCTTCAGAGAGCTATTTAACAGAGTTTCCTGGAGCTGAATGATTCTTAATGTCCATGTGAACATTCCTTACAATGTTCTGGAAAGAAGGTTGAAGATTTTAGGTAAGAAACATAACTCTACATGAGTGTGTATGTTTGTGGGTTCTGGGTGTCCATGCATAAGAGTGGAAACAATTGAGATATACATCTAATCACTAATATGCATATTCATTGAGTACATTTTGAGTAAACATCACATAGCATGTACAGAAGGTGCTGTATTCCAGGGCGAACCTTTGGTGACAGATGGCACAGCTCAGCTAAGAAGTAGTAACAAAGAGGAATGGCATGTCATACATAGAAATGAGTTCCATTTGGAAGAGGAGAAAAAGCAGTTTTTGTTTTCTGAGACCCTCGAACTATACAAAGAAGAGGGACTTTTCTCAAGCTTATTTCCTGGAGAAGGAGCTTCTCAAACTGCTACAAATATATTTCTCATGTTAAAGTTAAAACTAGCAAGAACATGAAACATTTCAAATCTTCACAAAAAGTTGAAAGAATGATACAGTGAACACCTGCATACCCTTTCTCAGATTTACCACAAAAATTTTTTTTCATCGTAATGATTTCCTTTCCCATGTTTTCTGTGCCTACGTGTTTGCATTTTTTCTTTCCAGCCCAACTTAGCACTTATAAGCAACTTTTATGTATTCAAGTGGTCCCCGAAAGCCATAGTTCCCTTTCTCTCCATTCCCATGCGCCCCAAACATAGACATCACCTTCTCCATGCAAGTTTCTCTGAGCCTCTCGGTGAGAAATCACCCTCTGCTCACACTCAGCTCATCTGCCTTCAGATGGCCCCCATCTCCCCCACATTGCTATTAGATTTCCATCTCTTTGTCCAGCAGTTTTAAATTATATTCCTTTTTCTCGAATAACCTAGAATTCTGCCAATCTCCCATCAATATTTGCTAAATAATCAGATGGACTGAAAACAGCAGAAAGATGGCACAGAAGCTGGTGGATGTCATCTGAATCGCCAGAGGTGGTTTGCGAAGTTGGGACCTAGTCCTTTCTGACAAGCAGGCCTGGCTTGGGGTCTGAGATGCCCTCTACCTGTCTGTGTAAACCGACAGGTAGTCTGTGATTTACGTGAGGTCCCTATGGAAAGCTTTCACCTAATGCTCATAACTTCACCACTCCATGGATGAGGAGGTAGAGACCCGCTGAAGTCTCTCACTCCCCCAAATCACACTGACAGAGCCAGGACTCTCCCAGATGGCTCTCGCTGCAGAAACCATGCACTGACTTCTCTGGTTGCCAAGACGATGTCGGGTGAGAAGCCAAACCAAGCACGCACTCCCCTTTATCTCATTCACTGTCACCGGCTGCTGGACCACGCTTACTGATGCTGAAGGAAAAAGATCTGTTTTCCTCAAGACAGTATGTTTGGCTGAAGTTGTTTTACGATACACATTCAGGAAAATACACAGCTCTCCTAAAAGACTGTCAGTATAGTTAAAGCATCCCTGTCTGCGAGAGTTGCTAGCCTTTCCTTTCAGGCAGCACACATAGAATCCCACTTTCAAGGGCTTAGGCAATGCTCTACGTGCTGTTGCTTTACGTGGGTCAATTCACTGAATCGTCACAAAATGCATATGCGGGAGGTGCTATCGTTTCCAAATACTGCTACAGAGACTGAGCCCAAGGGGGGAGGTCACTTGTCTATGTTTACAAAACCAGTACCTGCCCAGCCGGCATCCGAACCAACTGTGTGATGCCAGAGACGCTCTGATACCTCTTGAGAGTTGTTTTTTTTTTTACTTTTTCATGTTAAATAGACGTTGAACAAAACTGCCAACAGAGGAAAGAAAACTTGGAAGGAAGATGAGCTAGGCGAAAAAAAATATCTTCATTTGAACTGAAAAGCACACCCAGAAAGTGGGAAAGAAATGACTTTACCTTTCTTTTGTTTCTCATTAACAGAAACAGGAGAAAAGGGCCCATTTTAAGGCTTCGCGGAAAGAAAAAAGGAATTCAAAAGCAACAAAGTTATGCGGTAAGTATACTTTTAACACCTTCATAAACTGCCAAACTGTTTTCAAAGGAGGTTGTAACATTTTACATTTCCACCAGAGTTCTAATTCCTTTACATTTTTACTCACTCTGGAAATGTCCACTTTTTTTATTTTAACAATGCTAATACGTATGTACTATTACCTCACTATAGCTTTAATTTACATTCTCCTGATGATAACTGAGGTCGAACATCTTTCATGTCCTTATCTGCGACCCCTGTATGTTCTTGTTGAAGTGTCTGTACAAATCGTTCGTCTTTTCAGTTGCGTTGTTTGTTTTCTTACTATTGAATTTTCAGAGATATAGTCCTTCCACCCCTAGGTACTTCCCCAAGAAAAATAAAAACATATGTTCACACAAAGATCTGTACAGAAATGTTCAGAGCCAGAAAGTAGAAATTACTCAAATGCTCATCGACAAGCAAGTATATAAACAAGCTGTTGTACATGCATACAACAAGAAGGAACAAATATTAGCACACAAAAAAGCATGCTAGAATTTTAGAGGGAAAGAAGCCAAACAAAAGGGAATTACATATTGCAGGATTCCATTTATAGAGCATTTTCTAGAAAAACACACTAATGGGTAGTGACAGAAAGCAGATCAGTGGTTGCCTGAAGAAGAGGAGGCAGCGCGGACAGACTGCAAAGATCACAAAGGACCCTGCTGGGGGACGGATATATTAATTGTCTTATATGTAGTGATGGTGTCATGGGTATAAGCTTACACCACGTCAAACCCCATCCGAGTGTGTATTTCAAATACGTGAGTCTATTGTATGTCAATGACAGCTCAATACAATACAAAAGTAACTTCTTAAGAAATAAATTTGAACAATGAACAGAAGAAAAGCTCTGAGTTATCCTTTTTTCCCCCCCTGTAGTTGAGGTTTTGGTACCTAAAGTAATCTAAGTTCAAAGCAGAAAGACAAGCTCCCCTTAAGGGAGAGCTAAGCAATAGAAAAATCATGTGGCTTTAAAAGTTTCTAATTTTCCATAGAATTAGGTTTGTTACTTAGAAATAGGGAGGAATGCTTCTGTAGAATTCAGTCCAAAGAGAACCATTTTGCTGATAGGAGTTCTCGCACTATTTCAATGGAGTAACCAGTCTGGAAAAATGAAACAAACGAACAAAGTGTCCCTGTGGAACTCGGAAGGACCTGAGTCACACCAGACAGAAACTGCCGTACCCACACACCACTCTGAGCCCATTTTCACATCCCTTGTATCACAGTAGTTCCTTTCTGAATACTCCCCATGTCCCTGTTTATCTTGGATACCTAGAGCAATATTTTTATGCATTTTCTAAGATACTTATAATTTACAGAGAAAAGGATAATTAAATGAATGTTTGTGGAGTAAGATGTCCCTTTGGACACATTAACAATAATCTCAGGAGAGCAATTCATGTTGTGATAACAGCTCGCTGGTTTTCAGACCTGTACCTGACTCTGTAAACCTGAATCTATTAAGGGAGAGCAGAGAATTTATAAAATAACACTTTTAATTTTTTCCAAGCTACATGAGGAAGAGAAAACATGATTCAATGGCATTGGAAAATGACACCATGGTAAAAGAATTTATGTTTCTGGGGCTTACTCAGTCCCAAGACCTGAGCTTGGTCTTATTTCTTTTTTTGTCTTTTGTGTACATGACAACTCTGCTGGGAAACCTTCTCATCATGGTCACCGTGACCTGTGAGCCTAACCTTCACACCCCCATGTACTTCCTGCTCCGCAATCTAGCCATCCTTGACATCTGCTTCTCCTCCATCACTTCTCCAAAGGTCCTAGTAGACCTTCTGTCAAAGATAAAGACCATATCCTATGCGAACTGCATGACACAGATTTTTTTCTTCCACCTCCTTGGTGGAGCAGACATCTTTTCACTCTCTGTGATGGCCTTAGATCGCTACATAGCCATCTCCAAGCCCCTGCACTATATGACCATCATGAGTAGGGGACGCTGCACTGCCCTCATTGCAGCCTCCTGGGTGGGGGGCTTTGTCCACTCCATTGTCCAGCTTTCCCTGCTGCTCCCACTCCCCTTCTGTGGACCCAATGTTCTGGACACTTTCTACTGTGATGTCCCCCAGGTCCTCAGCCTCGCCTGTACAGACAACTTTACCCTTGAACTCCTCATGATTTCCAACAACGGCTTGCTCACTATCCTGTGGTTCCTCTTCCTCCTGGTGTCCTACACAGTCATCCTAAGGATGCTGAGGTCTCAGGTAGGGGAGGGCAGGAGGAAAGCCATCTCTACCTGCACAGCCCATGTCACTGTGGTGACCCTGCACTTTGTGCCCTGCATCTATGTCTACGCCCGGCCCTTCACTGCCCTCCCCACGGATAAGGCCATCTCTGTCACCTTCACTGTCATCTCCCCACTGCTGAACCCCTTGATCTACACTCTGAGGAACCAGGAGATGAAGTCAGCCATGAGGAGACTGAAGAGAAGACTGGTGCCTTCTGTGATGGGAGAATAAGAATCTCCAACTTCTTCTTCACTGGGGACTCCTTTCACTTTTTTCCCAATGGCTTATATAGGTACACAAATAAATTGTCAATAAACCAACTCTACTTACTCAGTAACATTGAATTTTTCTATTTAAGAATAGGTTACTGATAACCCAAGCTTCTGGTGAGAGTGAAATAACTAGTATTATACGATTAAGTTGATAGATGTGTTTATCCTTCCCATGAAGAATAACTAAATGGCAGTGAAGAAATTAATTGAACCCAGCCCCTTTTTCAAGTGGCAAGTAAATAGAAGCCTAGAGATAAAGGGAGTTGCTGAAAATCTCAGAGACATCTTCAGATACCCAATCTATTGTTCTACCACCACATAATGTGATACATAAATGTATCACATTATTAGACCTATTTATACCAAATCCTGTTCTGGAAAGATCCCATGATGAGTGAGTGCCTCTGAAATACTCCTACATGGGTACCTCTCACAGATTAAGAAATTTTCTCTCCTTAGTTAAACTCCTCATGGTCTTGTGACCTAAAAAATACGTTATGGTCGTTCTCCTGGATCCTTAGAAGGAATGGAAAAGCTTGAGAAGATATCCTGAAATAGCCTAAAGAGATTTATCTTCCCCAGTCTACACAGAACAAAGGCAGAACCCCCAGGCATCCTACACACAGAGAGCTTCCTTTTCACCATCCAAGAGCTGATTCTTCCAGTGGCAGCCTCATCAGGGCCAGTCTCTGATTGGCTTCACCACTGAAGATTTCCATTCTTCCTGCCGGAGAGACAGCACATGTTAAGGAAGCTAAAACTCTAACCAGCCTATTTTCCAATCTGTTGTTGGTGGTGAACAGGCAGTCTTGGCAGCACTTTGTCTGGGAAGGCATGGCAAAAGTAAAGTAAAAAGGAAAAGCATTATAGCTGAAAGCTCTGAGTTCTGAGTCAGACAGACCTGGGTCCAGACCCTATCTCTGCTGTCCACCAGCTGTGTGATATCGAACAAGGTATTGTACTTCTTCACAGGTCATAGTTCACCTATGCAAAGGCACTTACAGTATCTGTCTCACGGAGTCGTTGCGAAGATTAAACGAGATGACACATGTGAAACAGACAACGCCCTGCCAATGGTAAATGCTCAGTTAAAGGCTGATTTCATCCCTATTGCCCTGGTACACTCTTCTACATGGCCTATAGTTCTCATTATTTAAAAAAAAACTGATAGGATAGAAAACATGGGGACATACACTGAATTCAAAGCATCTATTATCTTAAAATGTCTAGCTTTCTGTCATTAGAACACGACGATAAGTTTGTTGTTGTTTAGATAGCTTGCAGAGTTACTCTGAAGCTGATGAGACAGAGTGTAGGAGAGTTTCACATCAAAGAGGACAATGGGTCCACAATAAATCCTGGGCTTTGAGAGTGAAAGTAGGAGATCAGACCAAGAAGTCAGACTGACCCAGAGGGTCAGAAAAGAGCTCAGGGACACTTAGCCCAAGAATGTGGATGTGAATGTGCATGTGAATGACCATGTGCAGGTGAATGTGCATGTGAACGTGAATGAGCATGTGCAGGTGAATGTGCATGTGAATGTGAATGACCATGTGCAGGTGAATGTGCATGTGAATGTGAATGACCATGTGCAGGTGAATGCGCATGTGAATGCAAATGCTGGAGACAGACGTCACCACAGTTCCTCCCAGATCTTGGCTGAACCCACAAGCACTCATCAACTAACTGGCTCGACTGTTCACCATTCCCTGTCTTCTGATCAATCAGTTCTAACTGTTTACAGTATTCACCTTTATCCCCTAGCCTGCAAATTCTAAGAACAATTCCCACCTCTCATTGTCCGTAGAGTCCATAGTCAGGTAGCTCTAGTCTCGAGAGCCCCAGGCTTTGCATTATGAAATTGCCCATGAAAAATGTATGTCACAGGCCACTGAATAGTCGATCCAATGCAAATGTGTCCTTTCCTTTCCTTCCTAGCTCTTGTGAGTCACTCAAAGCAGATTTTTATCGCTATGTCACAGTTGGATGGCACCGAAGATCTACAGGGTCTGAATCACTGTACCCAGAAGCCTAATCCCTGGGGGCAGGAACCCCTGTCTCATCAGTGTCCCTGAGACGTCCTCAGACCCTCTCTAAACACAACATCCCCTGATTCTACAGTTTGGGGGAAGGGGAAAGCAATTGAGTCTAATTACAATATATATCATATATCTGCATGACATAAAGTCACAAGCTGGGCTGCATTCCTCCCTTTGAAATCAGTTTTGGTTTTTTAAGATTGTATTTATTTATTTTTAGAGAGGGGGGAAAGGAGGGGGAAAAAAGGAAAGAAACATCCATTAGTGGCCTCTCCCCTGCACCCTGACCAAGGGACCTAGCCTGCGACCTAAGCATGTGCCTGACAAGGAACTGAACAAGAAACCTTTTGGTTTGCAGGCTGGCACCCAACCCATTGAGTGACACCAGCCAGGATGAAATCAGCTTTTGTTATTTCTTCAGCTCTGCTTCTGCTGCTGCTGCTGCTGAGAGCCATAGAAAAATCAATGCATTCTGGGCGCAGACATGGCTTTCAAACTGCCCTTCCCTGCTTTGCTCCCCAGATCAATCATTTTGACGATTAACATCTCTGGCTACCCATGAACCCACTAACATAATTTTGAAGAAATTGAACAGATGGACACCAAGGGCTCTCACCGTGCTACCTCTCAGCAAGCTGTGGATCTCAGTGATGCAGACTAAAATAATTGCATGGGGCAATCTACCTGTCCCATGAAACTGGAAATTGCACACATACATCTACACTGTTGGGTCTCTGATAGTTGCTCTGACAGTAGCCACAGAGCTTGGAATTTCCCTTTGCTACCCTTCTACTGAAGTTTCATTTCTCAGCAGACTGCAGCCCAGGTGATTTGGGTGAGGAGAAATACTGCATCCTTGGTGTGGTTTAACATACTGCTTTCTTCCTAAGCCAAGGGGATAATGGAAGGTGTCATAGGCATTGTCTAAAGAAAGGGACATGCCCCAGAGGTGCACCTGCTCATCTGCATGAGCTGTGAGATGGGGCACAGAGGAGAAGAGGGAGAGAGAGGAGAAGGGATCGGTGACATTCAATGACCCCCAGAAGCTGCTGACTTGGCCACTCAGCTTCCACATTCATACCCAATAACATTCTCTTGCTACTTCCTTCACTGGGCTTGTGGCTGAGGGTCTGGTAAAGATGGCCAGGCTCCGCAGGTCAATGTAGGAGAGTCAGAAAGAGGTGGTTCTCTGAGGTTGCCTTTTCCCAGCTGAAGAAAGATGATCACAGAATCACTAGCCTTGAGGTAGGCATTCCGTGAAACACAGAAGTTCCCCAGAACCTACTTCTTCTAAGCTATAGTTGGAGCATCCTAAGAGGATTC